GAAATTTTACAAATTTAATAAATAATTAAATGCTAAACCATTCAATTATCAATGTATATGTTAAGTCACAAGTGAATATGAAAATATTGTTACTCTATATTTGAAGTAATATAATTTTAAATAAGTAAATATAACAAACCAGAGGACAAATTGTTTTAAATTTAAATGTAAGTTCTTGTTTTAAATTAATGTTGATAGTGGGTGTAAATTGTGGTAGAAGATGACTATTGGTTCTTGTAACTTATATGACCATTAATTCATGTAACTCTCGTGGTCATTAGTTTCTTGTAACTCATATGACCATTAGTGTCTTGTAACTTATGCAACATCTATCACATTTATCTACCTACATTGCTACTCCTCATTTGACCCATTGATTATATGGAAGACTTTTTCACCTATAAATAGTGGTGTTTCTTCCTTTATGAAGTATCACAAGAAATATAAGATAGAGTGTTAGTTAAAAAAGATGAGAAGTGTGAAATAATATTTTAGTGTGTGGTAGTGAAAGAGAGAATTGAGACAAAAAATAATATTCTAAGTCTTTGTAACAACCCGAATCGTTGTTATTTAGGAAAGACAAAACGTCGGAAGAACTGGACCCCACCATCCCGCTAGGTTGGCGGCGCTCCAGCGGGACAGGGAGCGCCAGAGTGGGATGGTCGGGGTAAAACTTAAATGACGCGAAGCCTATTTTTTCCTTTGTCCCAAAACATCAAAAAGAGGCGAGGATCACCTCAGAAACCCTCAAAAGGCTGCTCTAGGCTTGGGAAATGAGGAGGAAGAGATTTCTAGCGCAAGGATGACGATAGTGTGCGGATTCTCGGCAAAATCCACCGTCTCGTTGTTCAGAAGCCAGGATTGGAGCTACAATCCCTCTACAACTGCTTGGCGCCCAGGTAGGCTAGGTTTACTCAATTGAATAGTTGTAAATTCGTGTCCATTGTGTACTGTAATGTTAATTGACGGTAGAATTCATGCTTAGGCCTTCGGGCATGAAAAAAATGATGATTGTACATGTACCCTAGTTGCTAAAGATGATGTGTACCATGGGGAAATGTATCATCTTGTGAACTACGGTTAGATGATGGTTCGACCGCTAGTTTGGTGTTGTATATACTTGTTAATGGCCCTATTGTATGTGTACATGAAAGGGGATTAGAGAAACATAAATCAAACCTAATGAGATGATTAAGTATGAATAATTACATGACATGAACCTGTGACTTGACTGTGTGACTATAAGAACTGTTCATTATGGTTGTGTTTGTGCTGACTGGATCGGGTGTCACGTTTCGACATATCTATTGGATCGGGTGTCACATTTCGACACATATATTGAATAGGGTGTCACATTCCGACACATATATATTGGATCGGGTGTCACGTTCCGACACACTAACAATTTGGGTGTGGATTACATGAGAGAACCACTAGTGATCATGACATTTATGTCTACCTGTTATTGACATTGGCAAATTGTATGTCCCCTTAAAAGATAATTGAATTATGCATCTTGTATATGTGTGTTTACTGTGTTGTAATTAAATTGCTTATATCTAGTCGTTAGAATTGATTGTGAATGAGCGGAGCCACCGTATGTGTCTTGGCAAGAGGAGACCGAGGGTCCCGATGTTATTATGAAATATGGTTAGATGGGTTGTCTGTGTTCTTAAATAATGAGAAGTAGAGTAATGTTTATGGTCTAAATAGTAGTTAGATCCTACCTAGGGAAGGGGATTGGTATTTGAAACAGTTAGCGAGCCTGGATAGGGTATTATGTGTAGTCAAGGGTTAAGTTGTGATGCAGAAGAAGCGAGGGTACGTCGTGAGTGGGTGGCCGGGTTGGCAGTGGTTGTATTCGGGAACTCTTCCACGAGTTAGAACTATTAAGCTATGATCAAGAGCGGAGCAATGTAGGGTGCTAGACTAAGGGGGTTAGAGTAAGTGTTCTAGTACGTTTAAGGTATACGATAATGGTAAAGGCATGAGGATAAAGGTTGAGGGGTGTGCTTCCTTATTACATGTTTTCTGCTAGTCAATTTCTTTATATTATGCGGTGGGCATCAGGTTGATCGATGATGCCTACCAGTACGTGTGGTTTGTATTGATACTACTCTTGCTATGCCTTTGATATAGTCTGGTTGCAGGATCAGTGATGTTTCATAGGTGAAGACGTAGACAATCTCCAACAGCTTCTATTCTTCCTTACCCGTGGACGAACCTGTGTCATTAGTTGATGTATTTATACCTTGTAATCTTAGAAGCTCTTGTACCTGTTTAGACTAGATCTTTGGGGGTGTTAATTATTTTGTAAATTTGACTTTGGGTTGTTTAAAACTCTTTATTATATAAAAATCTCTTGAAATTCCTTTTATTTTTAGTCTTCTTAATTTTTCGCATGTTTTCAATCGTTTGAGAGTCAAGGATTCTCCTACTTAGGTGTTAGAGTAGGTGCCCGCACGGCCCGGTGGGTTGGGTCGTGACAGTCTTCAACTATATTCACTATATATAAAAGAGAATATTTATATGTTGAAGGAAAGTGTTCTTTTGTAGAGCTTTGGACTCTTCAACTAATCCGGAGTTGCTTGAGTTGTACGACGTTGTTGGGCTGTTGTTTCCTGGAGGGGACAAGTCAAGAGTGATATTATTGGATCGGTGTAGATTATACCGCAGTGGACTTGAATCTCCTTAAAGAGAGCGAGATATCCGCGCCTCAGTCTAAATATTTATTTATTCATTTGTGTTCATTTTATTTAAACTGCAATTTATTTATATTTATGATATATTACACCAACAAAATACGAAATGTGTTGAATGCATGAAAATATGTTAGGACATGGAGAATATACTGTTATATGTCTCTCCTTGTTTATGTAGTAAAAATTACAGATATTAGAGTAGCTTTGTCATCTTTCTTTTTATGTTCTGAAAATATTAATAGTAATAAATAACGGCTAATAATGGAGGCTACTGATTACTAATAATTTGTAACAACAATCAAGAAACATTAATATTATATGAAAATTATATTGTAGTCAATTAATTAACGCAATTCAGCAGTCAAATACGTTTTCCCATATTGGATCTAAGTACAAACTGATGTGGAAATTAATTTAATTTATAATGAAGAATTGCGTATGGTTATTGAAGATGATAGAATTTATGATTATGCCAAAGTTTCTTTTGAGATATCACATTTTATTTTCAACATCTAATGTACTTTTATTATGATTTTTTTTTTCTCATTTAAAAAAAAAAATATTTCTTAAAAAATAATAAACAATTTTCCGAATTTTTTAATCAATGATCATAACAAAATAATTGAAAAAATATATTTCTCAAACCTTCCTATATCATGATATGCCTCTTTTTCAAACCTTTTGGAAGATCAAGCTAATCACCAAGTTATGTAATGTAACATTTCACTGGAAATATGGAAATTATCACTAATTTGTGAGCAATTTTAAATATGTTAAGAACAATTATTTTTTATCCTTTTTCAATTTTCGATTCAAATTCTATAACGAAGAACCCTTATAAACAAAGTACCTAAGAGTAAGTTTTGTAAATAAATCAAATATTAACGAAGAATATGAATTGGATTATTTTACTTAGTCTATGAATACATTTTAATTTGTTTCCTATATCTTTCTTTAAGTTTGTCTACTGTTATCTACATATGTTTGATAAATCGATGATTTTTTAAATCTATCAATAAATTTCATTTATACACTTGAATTACATAAGCTTATTTTGATTGAATATTTAAACACATGATAAAATATTTCTACTAGAGCACGTTCAGACATTTTCTTTTTGGAAAGCAACGTACGTGGATGGTAACCAAGATACTGACATAATAATAATAATAATAATAATAATAATAGTAGTAGTATTTATTATTATTATTATTATAACCACGTCATGAGAAAACTTAAGGGCCCGTTTGGACAAAAAAGGATGGTCCCAATCGAAAGCACCTCCTTTGCCCTCCATTTTCTCAGCCCCCCATTTACGATTTATGGCATGTGCTTAAAACGTTTTTTTTACAGGAGATTTTTATATTTATGAGATCTGAAAAAAATAATTTTTTCGATTGTAAATAATTAACCAAGAGATTTTATAGCTTGTTTGGTCAATTTTTTGGAAGATAAAAAAGTAATTATTTTTTTAAATAAAAAAACACGATGTGTTTAACTAAGTTTTTAAAGAAAATAAATATTTTTGAAAAATAATGTAGAGATTATTTTTCAAAAGAAAATAAGAAGTGTTTTACTATCTACTCTTTAATGTATTTATTGAACCAAGGTTAATTTTGGTCGAAAAATATATCAATGTTTCTTGATTATGTAAAATTTCACTTATTTTCAGACATAAAAATATGATGAAAATAACATTTATTTTAAAATGGATGAAGCAACTTTTCCTAAAAGCAAAATACACTTAGAAATACACATTTAATTTTTTTTTATCAAATGCTAATTGCTACACAAAAGTGTTTTTTTTATATAATTTATTAGTCTAACAGAAACTGCTTCTCATCAAAACACTTTTCAATTTATGCAGTTACAACGAGGCAACTACATATACTCTCTCTGTCCAATAATACTTGTCCACTATTGATTTTATACACTTTTTAAAAATTATAAATATAAAAGTAATTTTACTATATTATCCTTTGAATATATATAATAAATACATTGATTTCATAAAATAGACAAGTATGATTAGACATTCAAAAATAATATAATGTCCAACTATTATTGTACAGAGAGAGTAGTAAACATGTGAGTTTATTTTATTTTTTATTAAACAGTATACAAATCAATATATTTGCATGGAAAAATGTGGACCGACCAAATTAAAGATTAAGATATCTACTACACCTTAGGATCATTCTAAACTTCACATTTTATTCCATGCACACTTGAACCAACTCCAAAACCAAATCTACAAATTATAATTGAATATCTCACACATGACAATTGACAACAAAATGTGAATAACCTAACTTCTCAATCATAACAAAACAACATTAATATATCCAGTGAAATTTTACAAGTGAGATACGGAGAAAGTAAAATATACAAAGATCTTATCATTATCCCGTAGAGATAGAGAGACTGTTTTCAAAAGACAGTCGACTCAAATGCTTCTCAATCATAATAGAAAAGTTCCATATTACAACATTCGTCAACAGTTTTTTTCTTTCATAAGATTTTTATTAAAAAGAGATCGAGAAGATTTATAGTTTCTTGCAATTGTGCATTTAGCTCAGGGGGGAGCATCAGGCTGTCGTTCTGGCAAAGAAGCTTGGAATTCTGGTAACGCTTCACAAGAATCATATATCTTCCTTAAGGTTGGAAATTCAGACTGCACATACAAAATAATATCAACATCAAAATGTGTTCAACCATAGTTTTTTGAAACATATTTATTTAAGTTTTGTTTTGCTAGTGAGGCAACATGGGGGGGGGGGTAAAAGACAGTAGAAGATGCACGTTAGGTTCACAAATATTAAATGAGTGTGACAGTATATAAATTCCAGGAAAGAAAACAGGACACATGTTTCAGTTTTCACAAGTGTGTTCAAGTGTGATGTAAAATGTAAGCCACAGGAATACATACAAACTAGGGGTGTTCACGGATCGGTTTGGATCGGTAATTGGTTAAAACCAAAACCAAATCAACTTAATCGGTTTTAAAATTATCAAAACCAAACCAAACCAAATATAATATACATTTATCGGTTTGGTGGTTTATTGGTTTCGATTTGGTTTGGTTTGGTTATTAACCATACACAAAAATAAAAGAAACAATTCATTCAAAATGTGAAAAAAGTGACAACAATCCATTCAAAACAAAAAATAATTAGAATGATTTAAATTACTGAACTTTCGATCACTCAATTTACTATCAATAAAGCTTTAAAATTCACTATATTGGCCTAGAAGGAAAGACAATAATATTTTCAATCCCACAAAGAATTGTCATAGACACTCATATACACGAAATCAATAAGATAAATGTTTCATCTTGGACATTTTTGCTTTCAATAAGTAAATTATAAAGATTTTTTAATGAAATTATGACTTAAAATAATTTATAAAAAACAATATATTAAGTATGTATATTAATAAAATATATGTATATAGCCCCCAAGGCCTAGCTCAAGTGGCAAAAGGTGGAGGATTTGTGGCTTAGGTCGCAGGTTCAAGCCCCACACCATGCAAAGCAAAGCCCGGTATTTAAGTGGAGAAGGGTAGAGGGGCGGGCCCATTATCCACCGAGTTTAGAAGGCTGTGATTGGTCCAAAGGGCGGGTCACAGATGGATTTCTCGGTTATAAAAAAAAAATTAAAAAAATATATGTATATAATTCATCGGTTCGATTTGGTTACTTCTTCGATTTTTTCGAATAAAATCATAACCAAACCAAATACTATCGGTTTTCAAAAATCTAAAACCAAACCAAATCAAACCCAAATAAAATTGGTTTTATTTTATCGATTTTTATCCAAACCGTGAACTGAACACTCCTAATAGAAACAAAGGCTATTTATTTATTTTTCATATATGATTGTATACTATGATAGGGATGTCGATGGTGCAAGTGCGGTGTGAGTTCTATCTTAATTCGCAAATTTACAACCTATATACAGTAGTTATTATGCGATTATTATGAAACATAGTAGGATTTTACTTAATTACGAAATGTAGCAGTATTTTAATTTGAGAGTCGAGTAAGACACTATATTCACACAATGTATAATGTCACTACCTAACTATATCCATGTGTGCCTGCTATAAAACCCCAAACTATCGTTACACTGATAATTTTTTAAACCTACCGCTATTTCGAATAAATAAAGGGCCTCAATTTGCTATGTCGTGTAATTTTTCCTAACATGAAATGATAATGAAATCTTGTCTTAATTAAGTAAAACTATTATAGTAAGATCGTTTTTTTTAAAGGTAAAGATTCGATGAAAATGATCACGTAAATCCTATGTGTATGCCATGAAAATGGCATTCAGTTACCTTATTGTCAATTAGCCATCCCTAATACTATAGCTTATTTTTGGTGGGGACGGTGAGATTCAGAGCCAAGCTCATATCAACTAAGTTCACTAACGAGCTCAAGCTTGGTTACTTAGACAAATAAGATGTGCCAAGCTTGAGCTCGAACTTGAGCTTGTCTATTAAAGTACTAGTCCAGAGCTTGATTCAAGTTGGCTCGTTTTGCAGTTAAGGACAATGAAGTTTGTATTACCAATGCAGAGAGACTTCAGGGATCTGAGAAGAGTTTAAACTAGTAATCATGTTGCAGCCAAAAAAATGACCCAAATACATTTAGTAGCCACATAAACTTACCATGTCAATGTTAAACCTTTTAGTAGCTACTGCAATTTGAGGTGCCAAAAACACGTCAGCCTGCAATGTTTACCGTGTTATATCAGCTGAGATCAGTTAGGAATTACATCGTCAAGATTATTAGTATCATTTAAATGTTGACATGATATTATCTCCACTACTTTCGAAGCTCAAGGAATTCAGGTGCACAATAAAACAATGCTATCAAGAAAGCATACAAGTGCTAGACAAAATACCATATATACTTCATCTCCTGTAGCATACTTTCCAGCAGAACCCGTCAGCAATTTTTCAAGAGCTGCTCCAAAAAAAAAAAGAAATTTCTTCAGAACCAATTAAACAAGAGGTCGATGAACAATACTGATCAAGGAAACAAAATTCACTACATCAGGCAACAGAAGGAGTCCTAGTTGAATCTTAGAATCTATAGAAACAAGAGGATAGTGTCATCTTGTCTAATTTGAATACCAGACGCATAAGCAAACAAAACGAGGATATTGAACATTGTCAGGCTAAAAAAGACCATACAGAACTAATTTTACACTTTTGACTCATGAAAATCAAATTGACCACCAATTAAGGCGAGTATGATCTCTATCCAGATATACGTGATACCCTTTATGACAATTAATCCAATAAATGTTCAATTGGATTTTCAAAAAGTTTGAACACGTACAACTAACCATATGCAAAGTTGTAGGGAATCAAGTTTCACGAACTCAATTGATAATATAGAAGATCAAAATCCCACTCATTTGATGATTTCCCTATTATACAAGTTATATTTACAAAACCAAAACTAGTCCGCTACATAGAAAATATATAAGCCTAACTCCTTGATAACCAATCCAGTGAAACTATGTCAAATAAATTAGAAAAAGAGACTCCATGATGATGAACATTCTTTTTTTGACGAGTACAACGATGAGCATTCTTATGTACCAAAACAACTCAAAGCACAAGCATCAAATTAACTTGAAAGCTTTATTGGTGACTTTTCTTTTCTCACGTGGACTAAATGAGTATGGTAAATAGAACATGTATAAAACTTATCCCACAGGAGTACATTTCCTGCAATGGATACACAAGCAAGCATAGCCTGCTTGGATTTGCATAATTTCCCATTTTTACCTTCTTTTCTTAAAAACCAATGGTAGTTTTAAATTTTGAAACCTAGGCAAGGAAGAGATTATTCCACTAAATCCTTAATAAAACCTCAAATACAAAAATGCCTTTGAGGAATGATATAATTCCCTAAAGCTACAGTGTGAAATAGCAGAAACTTGTTAGGAGATGGTTAGGAAAAAAGCAAAGAACAAACTTAGGAATCAACAGGAAAATTTTAAAGAAACTTACCTCCAAAACCTTTTTGTATGTGAAATTTTACCCATAATTGTTTCTCTTCGGGACCAACCCTTTCCTCCATGTACCTCTGAAAATTGAACGGCAACTATTATTGCCTGACAAAACAACATCCTTGACAAGACAGAGCATAAAAAGGAACTGCTGGAGCAAGAGAATACCAGCACTGATAACATATGAAGTGGCTGCATATTGGAGCTGACAATACTTGCTGCCTGCAGAAAAGACAAGGGGTGCAAAGCTTTTATCCTAGTTGCAACCAACCTTGCTCCTTAGTACATATTTTTATGAATGAAGTCAATGTTCATCAACCTTAAATTTGGAGATAATATATATCACCATTCTTCGAGATATCTTGCCCTTATGGACTCGAGATAATGAGCATACACATGCAACACGATTCAAAAAGCCCTTCAAGGACTTCTTTTTCTTATTAATTCATAGTGCCCTTCAAGGACTTCCTAAGTGAAAGGATCCATAGGAACTTGGATCTAACCTGAAGATTGAGAGCTCTTAATTGAGGTTCAACTGGCAGCAGGGGCCTCTGATGATACTTCTCTTCCAAATACTACCCAAACAGCAAAGAGATTGGCACACAACTGAATCATTCATGATGGTGTCAGGATTAGGAATCAAAGAAGATCATATAAGCTTAAGAGATCCTACCAGTAAAATTGCATAGGAGTCCGAAATTACCACATCACCATCAACCAAAACAGGAACATAATGAAGAGGATTTAATTTATCAAACTCTGCAAATATGCATGACATTAGTCAGAATTAATGGTGCTACAAAAAATTATGCATATACCACCAATATTCATTCTGGAAGCATTGCTCAAGTTCAGAAACTATGCTAACTAACCACTGAACATTGATTGCTATGGAAGATTGTGTTTATGCTCGTGTTAGGTAAAAAATAAATGGATCCAGAACTTTATCACAGTTCTCATAACTGGATTGCAGAAGCCAGCTGCCGGTATCACAAAGTTATACAATCTGAAGTTGAAACTGGCTTTCCCTAACTCAATCAAGAGAGAATATCCTTAAATCATCAAGTAGACCTATCTATGCTTCCTCTCCTTTTCTTTTTCTGGATAAATTTGTCTACTTTGACGCTTTCTCCTGTCCAAACAGGGCAAGAGCTTGCATGTATACCAATGCTTAATCAAACTGAGGCTACCTACATAATATTATGGATATTCTATAGTAAGACTTCCTATTATTTATACACCTTTAATCCTTTCTTGACTTAAAAAGGGTCTTATATTACAGGAAGAATTAGGCACCAATAACCAGAGAGCTAAGTGTACTTAAAAGGCTACTGGCTCAGCATCCTTACCAAAGAAAGTGAATGATTAAATGGGCATATATTTCCGTCGAGAAGGGTGATCTTAATCATATCACAGAAAAGGTCAATTGGACAATTTTATGCTGTCTTAGAGAGGAGGGTAGTTTGAGCTACAAAAACTAGAAATCAGGACCTGAAACAGCTGCTATTTTAAGATGATTTGGAGGACATGCTGCGTGAACGATGTCCTATGGTCTATGGATAAAAATGGGTAAGATGAGATCTTATTGGTACCAGTTAATAAAAAACTTCAGAAAAATACTGTAATCTCATGAATGTTCCTGGGGTTGTAGAACCCACTGACAATGAGTCTATTTTTTTCCTGATCAGTCCCACTGCATATGAGACTGCAGTTCAAGTTTCCGCTTGACAACTTGATGGAAGAGCCACTTCTTTCGGGTTTGATCTCTCATTGCCTATTGGCGTAATAAACATAAAGCAGTCACCTCAGGCCTAGTTACAGATATGCATAGGCTTTTTTACTATATCACTGGCTAATGTGATTATTGCCAGGTGAAGTTGGAAATGTCACAAGGAAATGAGTAATTTTAGGGATGGACCTGAATTTTTTAACCTAAAGCTGAACACTTGTATGAAGTTAGATCTGTTTCTCTTAAACCTTGTCAGTATTCAAAGTTCAGATATTCGGTAGCCTGCCATGGGGAGCTCTCTGTTGCAAGCAGACTAAAGAAGCAAAGGGGCAATTCACAGCTAAACATATGTGTGTTATACTGGAGTATTCAGCATAGAGCAATTAACAAGAAGTTTAAGATATACTTTTTCAGCTTATTGGTTCTGAACCGTACATAAGCTAATGTTATGAGTTATCCAAAACAGTCGAATGACTTTTCTTACTCTTCACGGAAATAGTTTCTAGTTCTGCCCAGTGCCCATCACTATAGTAATCATGAGGTATAAGTTGTTGGAAAAATGATTCTAGTATCTCAAAAAGACTTGTTTATATTATTGTCTAAGGTTTATTCATTCATTCCTTATTAAAGAGTATGTTATTTAACATATTTCTACCATAAGTATTTGAGAGAATTATCTTACCATTGAATGGTTTTGACTTGGTCTCATTGCAATGAATTGGCTGCAACCATTCTCAAATTGCCAACTATACAATATCCTTTCATTATCCTAATTAATTCTCCCATTAATCATTAGCCAATTACTTATCTGACCGTTGGAGGCTTTGTGATATTGACATATAAATGTGGTCTTCCTCTATCACAAATGAGATAGAACGCAATACATATTAGAGAGTAAATCTTTCTTCCTATATTCTATTGGTGTGTTGGGTTTTGTTCTTTGAATCTTTGTTAGTTTCTGGCTCCTAGTTTTATACTAGAAGCTTGTTGAATCCTGGGGGATGTGAAATATCCTCAAGGACATTGTCTTTCGACACGCCTCAAGCTATGAGAATTTCCTACAAAGTTCATGGAGAAGTATAAATCTTGGTGAACTCCATATCAAGTGTTCGTGATGAAGGTATTTTCCGTAAGATTTACAACATAAGCTACTAGTGTTATACGTTCCAAAAACAGCCAAAGGGCTTATTCATACTCTTAACTGAAATGACTGCTATTTCTGTTCATCACTACAATAATCAAGAACTATAAGAGTTTTGTTTAAAAGTAATCATGACTCAGGAGCTATAAGCAAAAGCTTCATTTAAATGGCTTACACAGACTATGAAAAGCCATGAAGTTGAACCATCAATAGCATCTAGTAATGTTCGTATTCTAACAAATATGGCAGCAACAACTATCTCTATGTCTAATTAAGCAGATAGGAGCTAGATTAGCCAATCTTCAGACTGTCCGACACACCATTATTTCTATTTAAAAATCTGCAGAGACATCTCGCCCACACCACAAGAATAGCTTTCTTGGCTGGAGTTATAGTAATTTCTATGGGAAATCTTCTTTTATCAACACAATATTGCCCTCAAGAAAAGCCTTTGGTACTTCTGAATTCCATACATGTGAATGACTATCAAAAAAATCAAACATAATACCTAAAGTGAACTGTTCTCCTTTGCCAAGGTTGACTGCTCTATATTCATAAGAAAGACCTGTGAATCGCAGAAACCAAAACACAAAGTTAACAATCAAAAAATTATTCAGTTGAAGCCCCCATCCCACCCCCCAAAAATTCAATCTTGGGATTGACCAAGAATTACCTTTGAGATTTAAGGCGAAGCGAACTCTCCAAGAACATGAACTTTGCCAGAAAGAATACAATACAATCTTCGAAACCCATGTTGAATCAGTTGCCTTCTTCTGCCAAAATGCATTGAAATTGAAATTTATTACATAAAAATGTAAGCTTTCAATTTCTCGTTCAGCTCAAAATTAGCTCCTTTCAACTTTGTGTTTTTTGGTGGGTGTGCGCCAAAACAGAGAGACATAAAAAAACCTACCTTTGAGTTATCGGATTCCATGGATGAAGCTGAAATGGGAACAGCTAATGAAGCATCAACAATGGAGTTGGTAGTTGGAGTTTCAGTGTTAGAAAAATGTCTACCAAAACACCTTTGAAAATTGTCAGCTTTGACTAGTTTAATATAGGATCTGCTTATTTGCAACAACATTGGTGGATTTATCTTCATTTCTACTCACTTTTTTCGAAAAAATTACTGTTTCTGCTCTCTGCTGTACATCTGAATTCGTACAGGAGAAGGACATATATATCTAAATATCTAAAAGATAAATTGCGTCAAATTATTTGATAAAAAAGAACTTGGGAGGCAGACAATTAGTTTTTAACAGAGAATGGTTAATTTTAGGGTTAGGACAAAAATAATATCCTTTTTGCATATATTAAGGATTATTTTTATATATTAAGGATCAAAATAATATTATTTACTTAATACATATTAAATATATAAGTAATAATTTTCTTGCACTATAAATTTGTAGTCTAATTGTATTTCTTATTTATTTTCACAATTTTAATTATTATTTTATGCTTTATCATAATTATTTTTGTTGTTGTTAATTTATTATAGGTAATTGTATTATATTATTATGTTCATATATAATGTAATTTGTTTTTTCTTTACCTTATTATTTAGAGCATGTTTTCATATAACAATACCAACATAAGTTTGCTACCTAATTATTATGATGTCGAATTATCATTTCTTAAAGTATACTTTGTATAAAAATGGTACGCAATGATAGTTTTTTTTGTTTGGTAAATAAAAAAATTTCATTACCAAATGAAACAATACAAATCAGTAACTCATGCATATTGGACATCTCCAAACTATGCATTATCAGCTCTCTATTCTAACAGACTTCACTATGCATTTACCACTCTAGCTAAGTAAATTGCATCTATTTAGGATAAAAGTTCAGATTTGCTAGTACACAGTTTAATCGTATGCTTGCTCTCCCTCTCATGTGCACTTCTTGGACAACCTATTTTGCCAGCATTGTCGGAGTTCTTGCTGTTTTCTGGAAAATTCTTTGGTTTCTCTAGTACGTAATGATAATTATCAATGTGGTAGTGAATTATCATATTTCTCTTTAAATATACATTATATATCTTAAAAGATTCATTTTTTTTTATAAATTGTACTTAATATATAATATACACATAATAATTTATTCTATTTATATACATTTATTATTAATTAACGCGGAGCAAATACACTTAACTACTACTCTAATAAAAGGTTAAGCGCGCTAAGTAAAGAAAGAAACAAACTCCCGCGCAAACTCACACGTATAAATAGCTTAGGGTTTGAGGGGAAACAAGGATCACCGCTTCCTTCGCCTAGGGTTTACCAACCGCGAAGCTAAAACAATGGCATTTTGGGGTAAAATTTTATCAACTGTTTTCTAAAGCTTTTTTGATCGATCATCACTAGATCGTTTACTTCTTTTTTGGTTTTATAGGTATTGAAGTGAAAGCTGGTAAGCCAGTTACTCATTCGTCCAATAATGAGAGAGGAAGGCTACGAATTTCTCAGGTGATTTATAGATGAATGGGATCTTCTTCAATTCCCAATATTTTAGATCAATTAGTGATTGGTGTGTAAATGCCAATCATGTTTAAGCACAGTGAATTAGAAATCCATGTTGTATAGGGTTTAAAGTTGAAACTACTATAATCTCAAGTTTATGTACACTCTATCCAGATTCATATGAAAATGTTTCCTTTTTGGGACTTCAAATTGTTTGGCATTAAGGCTGATGATGATAGGAATGTACTTAATGCAAGCTGATCTTGGGAATATGGAGATACAACAAGATGAGAGTTTGAAATATCAAACCTACAGGAAGTCTTCTTGTCTGGCTGAAGTATACTTACTACGAAAGTGTAAAGTAACTTGGTTAAAATTAGGAGATGACAATACCAAGTACTCTCATTTTGTGATCAAACATAGAAAGCTTCATCTTTCTACAACACAACTTGATGACCGAGGTGACTGGAAGAATGACCCTGAATTAGTTGCACAGGTGTGTGTAGATTATAATACTGATTTGCTAGGAAAAGCAGCTCCAACAAGAGTTAAAGTCTTTCCTAGCTGTATTCAGAATGATACTCTTCTAACTATTGATCATCTGGTTGATTTAGTTAAGCCATTTACTGGACAGGAGGTGAAGTCTGCTATCTTTAAAATTAATAGTAATAAGAGCCCTGGGCCCGGTGGTTATGGTAGTTGCTTTTCCAAAGCAACATGGGATATTGTTGGAAGGGACATCACTGAGGCAGTCATGGACTATTTTCCGAAAAGGTAACTGTTAAAACATTTGAACTCCACCATCATTGCACTTATCCCTAAAGTTGATAATCCAGAGCATAGTCAATATAGACCAATCTCTTGTATAAATGCATCTCCTAAATGATTTGTACAAGATTAAAAACTGTTGTAAATCATTTGGTGGCTGAGAACCAAGCAATATTTATGCAAGGGAGATCAATGATCCAAAATGTTTTGATTTGCCATGATCTACTTAGGCACTACAAGAGGAAGACTTCACCTAGGTGCCTACTGAAAATTGACTTAAAGAAGGCATATGACATGGTGAGTTGGGAATTTATGGAGGAAGCAATGAAAGGCTTTGGATTTCGTGGGGAATTTATTAAGCTAGTGATGACTTGTGTGACCCCAATAAAATTCTCTGTCAGGGTAAATGGGGAAAGCCATGAGTTCTTTGAAGGGAGAAGAGGACTTAGGCAAGGTGATCCTGCCTCACCACTGTTGTTTTTCTTGGTGATGAATTACCTTACCAGGATTCTAAAAACAATGAGGATGTTGCTTAAGTTAAGTTCCGCCAAATGTGTAAGGCCGTACAGTTGACTCATCTTATATTTGCTGATGATCTTATGCTATTTCATAAAGAGACAGTTGACTCAGTAGATAGGATCATGGAAGCACTAACAGATTTCAGTGATGTTACTGGGTTGGTTGCTAGTATAGACAAATCAAGAATCTTTTATGGGTAGAGTAACTTATGAACTTAAAATCCAAATCATTGCTTAGACACAATTTTCTATTGAAGCATTCCCCATATGATATCTTGGATTTCCCTCTCATCTAAGAAATAGAGTAAAATGGAATGCCAACAACTAGTAGACAAAATTACCAACTGAATCAAACTGACATACTCCAAACAGTTATCCTCTGCAGGCAAACTTCAGACTAGAAATAAGTTACCAGTTTCAAAAAAAAAAACTTAAGACTAGAAATGTTGCTTTTTTTTCCATTCATAATTTTGGGGAGTAGTATTTACTTTGCTCCAAAGCATATTGAAAGAAGTGGATAGGAGGTGTAGGGAATACTTGTGGGGAAGCTCTAAAAACAAAAGGAAGATCTCCTTGGTTTCATGGGAAAAAGTTTGTTTTACAAAGAAGTTAGGGGGGCTAAATATCAAGGGATGCAGAACTTGGAATATTGCTTCTGTTGGTAGATTGTTGTGACAGCTTATTGAAAAGAAAAACTCACTGTGGGTCAAGTGGGTCCATGGTGTATATATGAAATCTACTGAAACTCTGAAAGCATATGGGATTACAAGACTCCTCCAGATAGTAATTGGTATTGGAGAGAGATGAACTCTTTGAAAGAAAGGATGAAAAGATGGTATGTGCAGGGAAAGTATGGTCTGACTCCTAGAGGTGAGTATTCCATTACTTGTAACTATTTAGATCTGACAGGAAAACAACCTAGACTTGCTTCTACTGAGCTTATTTATAGAGTCATTATGTGGTTAGCATCTCAAAATAGACTGCTTACAAAAGACAGGTTATTGAAGCTGAATATACCAGTGGAGGAGAGTGAGTGTTGCCTGTGTGCCCATCAAGTTCCTGAGAACCCAATGCATTTGCTTGTGGAGTGTAGCTGGATCAATGTAGTTAGGACTTGGATAGAGCAGTGGACTGGTGCTACACTCTATGACAGAGAATTGAGTAGAGGTTTGATCAACCTGAAGAATAAGCAGTGGAAGCAGTTCAAAAAGGGGATACTAGAAGCTGTATGAGGAGCTATGATATACCATGCATGGAGAGTTAGGAAATGGAAGATGTTCCAAGGAAAGCATGTACAGCCGGATGAAGTAATTGCACATATAAAGAGAAATAGAAGTACTGGGTGATTCCAAGAAAGCAATTAGATCTAGAGGCTTTATAGATTGGAAATGTAACTAGGTGCTGTTTTTTGTTTGCTTAAGACCTACTTTTCACCATCCTTCCTAGAAGGTGGCTGTGGAATTAGGTGCTCTTTAGGTTGTGATTTGTGGTTGTTTGTTGATGGTAATCTTACACATTGTTAACCAAAAAAAAACAATAAATTGTTTGGCATCATTCAATTGCTGTACAAGCTAAACTTGATGAAATGTTTTCCCTATCAAACTAATTTTTCAACAGTTTGCTAATCCTTTATTCCACTAAAGTCAATTTAATGCTAATTTTAACTTTCTGTTTAGTCAAGTACTGTCATATAGAATGAAATGGAGTGACCGTGTGAGTAGTTTCAATTTCAGGTAACAAAGCAAAAAGATGTAAGAAAGGGAAAAAGCAAGATTAAGTTTTCATTTGAGTTGAGTTCTATTTGTGATGCATATTCATTTCTTATTAAGGATAGCCGGGAGATTAACCACTTTAGCTCCTTGTTCTGCATGTTGTGTCCTTTTAGGCAACATTGGGAATTGGCAATGCTGAAACTAAAAGTTTGGTACAGTGTAATGTGGGGAACAAGAGTCCTGTTTTCCTCTGTGCTTTGTTACCTAACAAGACAGAGTCATGCCATTTGGATTTAGAGTTTGAGGAGGCAGAAGATGTGGTTTTTTCTGTTCTCGGTCCTAGAACTGTTTATCTGACTGGTTATTATGTGGGAAATAGTCGGCGAGCAAATGTAAACAGTGATACAGAGTCATATGGAGAGGATATTGCAGACACAGAAACAGGGGAATCCTGCCATGACAGTGATGATGACAAGTATGATGATAGCTTTATCAACGATGCTGAACCAGAAATATCACCACCTTCACCTGCTTCAAGCAGCGGAGGTATCTTTCTTACTCCATGTGATCATGCAAGGTTGAAGCTATTTATTGTCTCTTAAATTTGATTATGAGTTCTGCACCTATCCTTTTCTCCTGCCTATCTCTGTGAGTGTGGGTTATGATAGTCCAGTG